CACTTTTCATCCCAATGCAACTCAGTTAGGTGTCTGCACCTACTGTCCCTGTGCAGCCTGTGGCAGAAGCTCCCTCAGCTTCTCCCTGGTACTGCAGAGCCCGGCCAATGCAGAGCCTTGCCCTGTGCACGGCTTCCCCCTTGTGGCAGAGGCTATACACTGACGCCCCTCCTTATCTCTGTTCTCTTCCTTCAAGGCTCAGCTGGCTAGGCCTAGGGGCTTCAGGGAGAGGCTCTAGCCCAGGAGTTTGGATACTTGGGAAAGTAACTGGAAGAGGAGCCAGAGCCGAGGAGCTTAGTTCTCAGCTTTGGGTCAACTGCTTCAGGAAACTGGCAATGTTCAGCCTTGGGGCATCCTGGAAGTGATGCTGGCATGCTACATTATCCCACCCACTGGTCCTTCTTGTCTTTAAAGCATCTGATCAGTGCTTTTCCCCCATGGCTGCACAAGGGAATCACCTAGGCTGCTGCTCACCATCAATGGGCTTTTTTTTTTTTTTCAGTACTGGGGTTTGAACTCAGGGCCTTCACCTTGAACCACTCTACCAGCTCTATTTTTGTGAAGGATTTTTCAAGATAGGGTCTTATGAACTATTTGCCCAGGCTGGCTTTGAACCATGATCCTCCTGATCTCTGCCTCCTGAATAGCTAGGATTACAAGCGTGAGCCACCAGCACCCAGCTTCATCACTGGGCTTTTTAAAGCTCTCCTGGAATTCCAAGGTGAAGAACCATGACTCTGGACGTGCTGTCTCTGTGGTCTTATCCCATTCTTCTGCCTCCAAAGTCAGCCTTCACCCCAACCCCCAACATTCCCCCATACCTCAAGCCTATGCTGGCAAAGGCCTCCTCATGGGGAGGATCCATGGCCTCATGGGTGTGTGGTTAATACCCTCCTCCCTGGTACCCATGGCTCCCCTCACTCCTGCTTCTCTGTGCTGTCTCCATCTCCCATGTGTGCAGTGCTCTCCCCACCTCTTGCTCTGCTCATTCCCTGGTCAGGGGTTCAGTCAGATGCTGAGGAATATGCTTAGCCCCATAAACCCAATCTCATGCCCACATGGAAGTCCCTAAGGCCCCTCAGCTTAAACATGGCACTACTTGAGCTGGGCATTATCCACTTCTCTTCTGGAACCCTTGTCTTCTGCTCAAGTCCCAAGCCTGAAGCCTGGAACCTTCATCCACTCCCTGCCTACACCTTCTCTGTTCTATGTGGTGCTTTGTATAGTGTTCGGCATATAGTAAGCTCTTGGAATACTTGCTAAATGAATACAGTCAGCGCTATTTGTGAGGCAGTCAAGTGTGTAGCCTCTGCCACCTTCAGCCCCTTCCGTGGGCCTGGCTCTCAATCACCCTCTCTCCCTCCAGTCCAGCCCCCACCATCTCTCAGTCAGAGAAAAGTCCCAAGATCCAAACCTCATCCTGCCATTCCCCTCTGCTGACTCCCTTGCAGCCCCCGTGATCTAGCCCCTGCCCATGTCACTGCATCATTCCCTGCCACCCACCCTGTGTGACGAGGCTAAGCAAGAATCCAAGTCTAGGAATCCAAGGTCAACTCCAGGGGTTGTCACTGTGGCTGCCTGCTATGCCAGGTAATTCCAGTTTATCAAATAACCTGAAGCAATAGGAGTCCAAGGCTGGTAGAGGACTGGAATCCACAGGGCAAGCTCCTTTGCCTCTGGGACCTGCTCAAATGCTTTACTTTTTCATGCATCCCCCATCCTCCTGCCTCCTCTTTCTTAACCCCTTTCTCTTGCCTTTCCATCAGCCTCCACTCCCTGGGCCTTGGTTTTTTCCTCTGTATAATGAAGAGGATCAAACTTTTCTGCTATGGAGTATTGTAAGGATTCCATAGCATTTTAGCTTGGTGTCTGGTGTGCAGTAATCCAGGTGAAGTATGAGAGAGGTGGCCTGAAGTAATCAGGCCAGATTCATCTGCCCCTACATTTGTAACACACACACACACACACACACACACACACACCCCATTTCATCCTTACTCAGGGATGCCTCATGTTTCCTTTTTTTCCATCCAAAATCACTAAAATTGCTCTTGAAAACTGGGATGCCTTATGTTTCTTTTCTCCATGCAAAAATCACTGAAATTGCTCTTGAAAACTGAGGTTGGCCAACAAGGAACTGTAATACAAGCCTGTAATCCCAACAGGAGGATCAGGAATTTGAGGTCAGCCTGGACTCCCCAGTGAAACACTGCCTCAAAAAAAAAAAAAAAAAAAAACTGGGCATGATGGCTCACCTGTAATCCCAGCTACTTGGGAGGCAGAGGTCTAGAGAATTTCAGTTCAAGGCCAACCGGGGTGTGGGAGGAAAGTTAGTGAGACCCCGTCTCAACCAATAGCTGGGTATGGTGGTGTGCACCTGTCAGCTACACAGGAAGCATAAATAGAAAGGTTGTGGTCCAGGCCATCCCTGGTGAAAACTCAAGACCCTATCTCAAAAATAACTAAGGCAGAAAGAGCTGGGGCATGGCTTAATTGATAGAGTACCTGCCTAGCAAGCATGGGGCCCTGAGTTCATCCTCAGCACAACCAAAGAAATAAACAGCATAGTGTTTGCATATAACCTATGTACACCCTCCTATATACTCTAAATCATCTCTAAATTGCTTAGAATACCTAGACAAGGTAAATGCTATAGAAGTAGTTGTTAAACTATATTGTTTAGGGAGTAATGACAAGAGATGCAATTTTTTCCAAATATTTTTTATTAAGTCCATAAGTGTGGAACCCACAGTTAGAGGACTGACTGTATTCATTTAGCAAACATTCCTAGAGAACTTACTATGGGCTGGACTCTATACAAAGCACCTCATTTAATTCTCCCCAAACCACTGTAAGGTTAGTTCTTTATCTCTTCACTGATGAGGATGAGAGGCACAGAGAGGTCAAGCAATTTGCCCAAGACCGCAAAGGAAGGTACAAAACCAAGACTTGAATCCACACGATTTGGCCCCAAGTCCATGTTCTTAACTACTTAGTATGCTGCTTCTCGATTGGAAAAGTGATAATGGTATCCATAATTTAAAATCTGGCCCTATGAAAAGTTAGTGAGACCCTCATCTCGACCAACAAGCCAGGATGGTGGCATACATGTCATCCCAATTACATAGCAGGCATAGGTAGGAGGATCGTGGTCCAAGGCTGGCCTCCAGCAGAAACACAAGAACCTAACCAAAAATTAACTAAAGCAGGAAAGGGCTGGAGTCATGTCTCAAGTGGCTGGGCACCTAGCAAGCATGAGGCTATGAGTTCAAAACCCTAGTACTGTCAAAAAAAAAAAAAAAAAAAAAGCTGGCCCTGCATCGGATAATGCATTGAACCTCACTACCTCCTCATTGTTGTCCACACATGGGTTTGCACCCAAGTCCCAGAACTTGCTGGCTCTTGCCTTCAACAATGAGCACACTTATGCCACTCACTCCCCCAGCTGGGACTCATGCCCCTCCACTCTGCTCAGATCTGTTATGAGGGACTATGTCGAACTGACTTCCCTTGACATGGGGTTGGAGCCTATAGTACCTTTCCACTGCAGTTAAAATCCCAGTGTATTACAGTCTGCTTGGGTTGCTGTAACAAACTGCTACACAAAGTGGTGGGGATGGAACCCAGGGCCTTGCAAATGTTAGCAAGCGTTCTACCACTGAGCTACATCCCCAACCCATCAGAGATTTGTTTTCTTACTGTTCTGGAGGCCAGAAGTCCAAGATTGACAGGCTTGTTTTCCTCTGAGGCCTCTTGTCATTACTCCCTAAACAATATAGCATTTCTATAGCATTTCCCATGTACTAGATATTCTAAGTAGTCTAGAGATGATTTAAAGTGCACAGGAGGATGTACATAGGTTATATGCAAATACATATGTATCATTTTATAGAGGGACATGTATATCTGTGGACTTTGCTATCTGCAGGGGGTTCTGGAACTCACCTGTTGGATTAAGGCCTACTCACATGACCTCATTTTTACCTTAATTACATCTTCAAGGAGCCTACCTCCAAATGCAATCACATTCTAAGGTATTGGGGAACACGTATAAATTTTGGAGAGACACAGTTCAGCTGATAACACCCAAACGCTAATGGACCAGACTGATAATAAGGATGAATCAACTGGGCTTTATTTTCCAGATCTTGAGAGAGACATAGGTAAAAAATATTTCACTTTACTATGTGACATATAAGAACAAGGACATTGCCGGGCAAGCAGGAAAGGGCTGGACTCACAGCTCAGGTGGTTGGGTGCCTAGTGAGCATGAGGCTGTGAATTCAAAACCCTGGTACTGTCAAAAAAATAATAAATAAATAAATAAGGGCCAGCTTACATCCATAATCCTAGCTACTCAGTAGAATCATGGTTCGAAGCCAGACCCTGGCAAATAGTTCGTAAGACCTTATCTTGAAAATACCCAACACAAAAAAGGGCTGGTGGAATGGCTCAAGTGGTAGAACGCCTGCCTAGCAAGTGTGAGGCCCTGAGTTCAAACCCCAGTATCACCTTAAAAAAAAAAGGACATTTGTTCATGGCCATAGTCCAGCTTCTTGGAACCTAGTAAGTGCTCAATAAATATTTGAACGAATGAAAAGAATGACCCTGGCAGGGGCCATGGTGAATCCTGCCCAAAGTGTCTGCTTCAGCCAGCTATTGTCAGACAGCCTGTTATAAATCTCAGTTTTTCAGTGATAGTAACAAGTTCACAAAAACTCAAACCATTGTGCAAGAGATGAAGATGTAGCTCAGGAGTAAAGTACCTGCTTAGCATGCAGGAGGCTCTGGGTTCAATCCCCAGCACCACAAATAAACCTTGTTTGCAACCACAGCTCCCTTGAAGGGTGCCCACCTGGGCCAGCAGAAAAGGGCTTCCCTGCTCATCCTTGAGGTGCTGTGCTCTTCCTAAAGGGCCCCCTGGCTGGGGGGGATGGGCTGTGTACCTCCAGCTCCTTGGGTGAGGACTCAGGGACCTGTGACCGTGGTTGCCTCCACAGGAAGGCGACGCATTGGGTGCCATGGAGAAGCTGTGCCGGCAGCTGACCTACCACCTCAGCCCCCACTCCCAGTGGAGGCGGCACCGAGGGCTGGTGAAGAGGAAGCCGCAGGCCTGGTGAGTCACAGTCCATGATGTGCCTGCCTCAGTTGAAGGGAAGGGCTGGAGCCAGAGGGGTTGTCTGGGAAGCCTGCTTGAAGGGGGTGAGACAGGAATTGCAGGGCTGGAAAAGCAGGCAGGACATTCCAAATATATGAGGAGCTGGATGGGGGTCCCTGGTGTGTGGGGTGGGAGCTAGGGAGTATGGGCCCCAGATAGGTAGGGCTGGTGAGGAAGGGACATGAAGAGTTTCTAACTCCTAGTATGCTAAAAGTAGGGGTTCCCAGAACCTCCCCACCAACCCAGTTCTGTGGGATTTCCTCCCAGGAGACCCAGACCCTAGCCATGTCCCTGGCCCATGCAGCAGTGAGGACACTCCAGAGTCTTGTGACCCCTGAAGACTGACTGAGGAAACAATTAGTGGGATATGAGACAGAACAACCAAGAACAGGCAGTACCTTAGGAAAGGAATGGAGGTTAAGCTGGAGGACAGGCTTCCAGAAGGAGGAACCAGCCCTGCCTTTTTTGTAAATGACCTGGGGGCATTGTGGCTTGCCTTCTGAAAGACTCTGTCAAGGCTTTGGTCCTAACAAACTCATCCTTGGAACCTGAAGGCTGAGGAGGGAAGGACTGGCCCCTCCCTCAAGGAGAAGAGCCAGTTCTGGTGCCTCCTTCTCTTCTGGACACCCCCACCTCCAAAACTGGGAGAGGAGGTCAATCCTAGGGAGGCCAAAGAGAGTGAGGGGTCCAACAATATAGAGAACAAGGATCATAGATTGGAACAAAGCAGGACAGGGGCCTGGATTGCCAAGATTTGTGAGCTTGTTCTTCAGGGTTTAAAGCTAGAAATCTGAGCTCTGATGGGATAAAGGGACCTGTCTGCGAGCATACACACACCAAGCTGTCCACTCTTCATTTGGGAGCCATGTAAATAAAGCTGTCAATGAAGCCACCTCTCAGGTGGTTTCTCATCACACTTGAATGAAATCTAAACAGAGAACTGTGTGATTGGTCCCTACTCCCCCCACACACCTCTGGCCGCACCTCTCTCACTCTCCCTCAACCCAGCCACATTGGCCTTCCTGTTGATGCAGGCACACAAACCAACCCTTCCAATCTCAGGGCCTTTCCACCCTCACTTCTTTGCTGGAAGTCTTACCAAGCTCTTCTGATGGCCTATGCTTTTCTTTCACATCAGCTCAAATGTCAGCTTCTGCCTGGCATGGTGTGGCACCACTGTAATCCCTGCCTCAGGAGGCTGAGGCAATAGGATTGTGAATTCAAGGCCAGCCTGGGCTACTTTATGAGTTCCAGGTTAGCCTGGGCTACACAGCAAGATCCTATCTCAAAAAAGCCAAAATACAAAACAAACCAAAAACATTACCTCCTCAGAGAGGCCTTCCCAAAGTAGCCATGCCCCCAAAAGGTACTGTCATTGTCATTTGTTGTTTACCTCCCCCATAACAGAATGAAAACCAGGATCTTCATCACCCCTGTGACACCAATGTCTAGGAATGTGCCTGGCACATAATAGCCTAATAAACATTTGTTAAGGAAGACGTTACTGGTGCCACTTGACTCACAGCTGTTAAGCGGTGAGGCCGACTCCACACTTTTTCCCTGGTGCAGTGGGTCAGCTTTCTTAATGACACTGATAATAGAAGCCAACACTTGTCATACTGAACAAAGGCCCGGCAATGTTCGAAGCAGTTACACTAATGCCTTGAAAATTTTCCCTTCAAACTCCCTCCTAGCTTCAGGAGACGCCAAGGTTAGGGGCTTACCTGATTTTGCCAGGCAGTCTGTGACCCTGAGCTGCTGGCATTAACACATGTTCTTGCAGCAGGCTATCAGCTCCCTCAACCCCACTCCTTCCCAGAGTTGGGGCACAGGGCTTGCCTGGGGGCACTTGGAAAGATCCCACCAACTCTGTGGTGAAGGGCACACCCACCATCAAGCTGAGCAAGCAGCTGCCATCAGAGTCCCTTTGCCCTCCCCCTGCCTGCTGTCTTTCAGGGCTCTCCCTGAGGACCCCTCCTCCATCTGGTGTGGAAGATGAATTCAAAAGAGATCTCAGAGGTCCTTTGTCCCCCTCTTAGGGCAACTCAGCTGCCACCCAAGGGTGGTAGAAGCAAGCTTGGCCCAAGTGACTACTAATGACAGCAGCAAGTATTTATTCATCATTCACTACAGAAGTCACTGTCCTGATTGCTTTGCATTGATTATCCCACATAACCCTATGGTATTGTTAGCTCCATTTTTTTTGGTAAATAACTGAAGCACAGAGAGGCTAAGTAACTAGCTAGAGGTCACCGAGTAGGAAGCAAAGTTGTTAAAAGGAAAAATGCAGGCATCATGCAGAAACATGTGGGCCTTTCCCTTAAGATCCTACAGACATAGCATAGCAGGCTCAGACCTCAGGCTCTAACCACTCAGCCCCACTGGACCAAGATGTGAAATGCCAGGCCATGGCAGGGCAGGGCTGGTTTCTCCTAGCCCCTACACTTGCAGTTTGATCTGCAAGTTTTGTGAAAATGATCCTTGGAGTCCGAGAGCTGAGCAGAGGCTGGCTCCTTTCTAGTGGCCACTCTACCTCTCAGGAAAGGCCTAACCCACTTGCATGAACCTTGCTTGCTCCTTCTTTCCTTCAGCCTCAAGGCTGTCCTGACCGGGAACCCTCCAGACAACACAGTGGACCTATCAGGCATTCCACTGACTTCCCGTGACCTGGAACGGGTGACCAACTACCTGCAGCGCTGCGGGGAGCAGGTGGACAGTGTGGAGCTGGGCTTCACGGGCCTCACAGACGACATGGTCCTGCAGCTGCTGCCAGCACTCGGCACCCTGCCTCGCCTCACCACACTAGCCCTCAATGGAAACCGGCTGACCCGGGCTGTGCTGCGTGACTTCACTGACACCCTGAAGGATCCCAGCAAGTTCCCCAATGTCACATGGATCGACCTGGGCAACAACGTGGACATCTTCTCATTACCCCAGCCCTTCCTGCTCAGCCTGCGTAAGCGCTCTCCAAAACAGGGCCACCTGCCAACCATCCTGGAATTGGGTGAGGGCCCAGCCAGTGGGGAAGAAGCCCGGGAAGAGACAGTAGGACAGGAGGACCCTGGAGGGAGCCCTGTAGCACTTGCCGAAGACCTTAAGGATAAGGAGGCTGTAATTCAGACGTGACACGGAAGTGGGGAGCCTCACCAGGAAGTCCTTGTGGGGGTAGGAGGGCTGAAGCAGGCTTGGGGCTCCTCCTACTGGGAGACTCAGGCTGTTACCAAAAATCCACCTGGGCAGTCCCACCCCAGAAAGGCAGCCTACAGCACCAGTGAATGGTCCTCTCCATTCCTCCCCTGCTTCCTCACAAATCTCAGTATCTTCTTGGTGGTTAAGAAGGCATCCCTGGCTTAAGCTCCAGGGACACTCCCCCTCCACCCCCGCCCAGCTCTCTCCTTGATCTCCCATGAGACTGTGCTGCTTAACATATAGCATAGAGATCCTGAAAGCTAGAGACAATAGATTCTCCCCATCTACAGTTGTATCCCTACACCTAACCCAGGATTCCCATATCTGAGGGAACATACCCCACCTCCACTCCCCCTCTAAAGAGAAGCTGAGATCTTCCTGAGGAAGGAGGCCTGTTGCCAGGGACTCTACAGGAGCCTATGCTAAGTGTGAAAACCTCTGACTTCATGTCAGCCTCCATTTAAGGCTCACCGGTTAACTCCAGGAGCCTGCCCCTAAAACAGCCATCACTACCCTTCAGTATTTAAATTATCCTGTAGTGCCATATGGCTGTGTCAAAGGCAGATCAGAATTGCCAAACCTCCACGTGGGTTTGCACCCTTACTAAACAGACCATGAGCCTTGTTCCCTGTCAGCACTACACTGGGCCTACCCAGAATTCCCTTATATATTTTAAAAGCACATTCCTAAAAACCTACCAAGGGTACCATAAAATTGAGCCCAAACCTCAAAGATGGCTGCAAAGTCACACCTGCCCCTTACCAAGAAGACCCTTCATTAAAAGGCTCTACCAGATTTTTCCAAATCCCCTCTAGACAACGAGGAAGCCCTATACCAAAGTGTGAGAATGGGAGCCAGTCATTCTGGAACCAGATCAATAGTGAGTAAACTAAAACCCTGTGGGCAAAGTATGAGGGAGCACAACCTGACAGGCTAGGCAACACTTAATCAAGAACTGACCTGTAGCCTCCAGTCAGGTAGAGAATATTCTACAGTAGACAGCAAGATGGAGACTGACTATGGATGCATGGGGGCCTTACATGGTACAGTTAGATGTGGAGCCAAATGCTTCAAAAGGACAGGCAGCAAGGATTGGAATGAAGTTGGATGCCTTAAATGCTTTGGAGTTTATGCCCTCAAAGTCTACAGTTGTTAAAGAGAAAACACCTTAGACCCAAGAGAAGTTTACAAGCTTGAGTACTAAAACTGGATGGCTAATACCTGACACTACTCAAATTTTTCTTCAAATACATATTTTTAAGAATCAATACCAAAGACCATCCTTTATTACACTGCTAGTTAATGTTAAGTGCATGGAGACATTTTCAGGAGAAATTAAGTTTCTGGCTTAATGAACTCACTTTCCCAAATAAAAAATGCAAACAAATTTGTAAACAAAAGTTTATTAAGTTGTAGAAACTTAGACTGTAGGGCAGGTTAAAAAGTGATACCAAATGTGCCTGTCCTAGAAAAAAGTGCCAGAGACTTTAAAATGGCCTTCTTAAAGGGCCATTCTGGCCCACTCTAGGGCTGGCAGAGTGGCTTAAGTGGTAGCATACAAAAGCCCCCAGTACCGCCAATCAAAAAGGCCTGATACATAATGAGCACATTTCTGCACCAAATGCTGATGCCATGTTTCCAGAATCCACGTTGATGACAGCTACTGATCCTCAGGACTGGCTATCCTCTGGGAATAGATAGCCTGCAAAGAAACTAAATTTCAGTCTCGCTTTCTGCTCCAAAAAAAAAGGCATTCATAATATTAAAGACATCTTCAGAAAACCATAGTATCACCACTTCCAATCTGCCGGTAATTCCAGCTATTTTAGGTGTTTTCATCATTTGATATCCTTTTCTTCAAATTATATTTAATTAGATGTTTAGTCACTCTACATTTAGTGAAGGAGCCATTGTAAAAATCAAGACTTACCTCCTCCTGGGCTGAGCTGCTAAGTCAAAAGCTGCACTCCCACACTCAGAGGAATGGAGAAGGCTGACACCTAAAAACAGCAGAACAGGCTGTAATCTTACCAACGAAAGCCTGGCTGAGCAAGAGCCACTCAGAAGGTGCACTTTTATAAATGACTGTAGTCTACCAAGTCCTAGTTAGCTCGTCTAGTCACATTTTAAGCTTCACACAGGCAATTTGCCCAATATTAAACTAAAGGATGTATGCATCTCTATTCCAACACCCCATGAAGCATAATCATGTATTTTTGGGCAATGGGAGTATTAGTGAAAACCAGGGAAACACTGACACATTTACAAAACACTAGATAACCAAAAGAAACTGATATCTAACCCAACAGCTAGACTCTCTTAACCACTAACTTTCCCAGACCAAAGCTTACCTCCTGGAAAGTTTCCTGGCTCCAATAGCTGGCTGATGATCCTCCACTAATCTGCAATACAGCAATTTTGTCAGTGAAATAGACTTAGTACTGGACACCAGCAACTGATGAATTCTTGTTGACTGCAGTCAGCCAGGAGTAGTTATCGTCAGTTATCACTTCTGACGGCACTTCCTACTAGTGATTTCATCAGAGCAGTCAAGCACCTCATATCTCCAGCACTAAAGAACCAGACATCGTCTGAAAGCAAACTAAAACCCACTGGGAACATTTAACATGTTTCTGCATTAAGCATTAACTTAAATGCAGTTCTAGGTTAGGACAGCCATCTCCAGTTTCCATTTCGAGATCCTACACTATGCAATTACATGTCCCATAACATCCAATGTATAAAGGTTGCAGCTAAAACATCAAGTTCAGTACATTTCAAATAAGATCACAACTAGTTCCCATAGTAAAAGAGTGGGTCTTACCTCAGTGGAATGCTGCTGTCTTCAACATTCTGCATTGAGTCCACCATCTGAAACATGTTCAAAGGACAGAAACTTCATGCAAATCCTGGCAGTTCGTGCATAAACTGACTTTATACTTTGAGCGACTGCACTCAGTTAAGTATAAACGTCGTCAGTTCTCGCTTCTGACGGCACTTCCTATTGCTAGTATCATCAGGACAGTCAAGCAAGCTCCATTACACCCCTTCCACGTGTACCGCTCCTGGGGCACCCCAAGCTGCAGGCAGGCAAACCCCAACCTACCCGGTTTCCCAGGTTTGCGCAGTCCTCAAGGAGGGCCGGGAAACAGGGTTCCGGCCTTCGCAGACGCCACAGTCATGCGTCGACGACTCTGCTGGAAAACAATCCATGAGCCTCGGCCCACGGAAGCCCAATTCTGCCCAGAAGGGCTCTCCGACTCTGGAACACAGGACCACAGCCTCCCTTCACATAACCCTCTGGGAAACATCTTCCCAGCAGTCAGGATCCAGCTCATTACTTGCCCCAGCCACCAGCTACCACATCCACAAAAACAGCCTACCACCACGACAACTACAACGAAAAGGTCGCCCCAGTCCTGCACCCCAACCCTTAAGGAGTCGGCATGTCCCACTCCTCATATGAGGGAGGGTGAAACTAGCAAAGACTCACGGGAACTTCCATCCCATTTAACGATATAGACTCCGTCTCACTACCCAGGACTCCCCCGTTCCGTTAAGCTGGTGGTCTCTTCCAGAGCCTCAGGAATTCTGGGTAACGAAACGCGGGGCGAGTTCCAGGGCGCCTGCGCGAGGATTTGAGCGCGAGCTTCAGGTCCCGCCTCTGCTGCTCATTGGCTGCGTGGTCTTCAGCAAATTATTCGTCCTTTGTGAGTTACCGACGCGATTGCTCATATGCAAAATGGAGAGCAGGGCGTCTCGGAAGATTGTTCAGAGGCTCACATGAGATAACACACTCAGCAAGCATTCAGAAATAGTCGCTGCTCCTAAATGTAATGAACAGGGCCAGTCTGCTCTTTCTGCACGACTACAAAATATCCGCGGAGCATTTTAAACCCCTGCGCACTGACAGCCCTCACCACTTTCTTTAGAATGACCCTGAAGTACCAAGCAGTCCTGTGTGGATCCACTTTTATCCCGTCCAAGATCTGCCCCCCTTTCCTCTCCGGATTCCTTATATACTCTTCCATCCAGGCCCTATCTCACCTGCAGTGGAAAACGCCCTCTAGTGATGCTTTCCTGTCTGCACATGAACATGTTCAGGTTTCTTAGGAGATCTAGGGGTGTAGCTCGGATATAGCCTTGCCTATCATGCTGAGATCCTGGATTCTATACCCAGTACCATAAAAGGAGGGAGGAAGGAAAAGGAAGGAGAGGAGAGAATAAGAGGAAGGAAAGGAGAGAGAGGGAGGGAGGGAGGGAAGGTCCCTGCATACCATTCTGTACACAAATTTTGTACCAAGGGAGAACAATATGTCGACCGGAGAGAACAGAAAAGACTGCAGTTTGAACTCGGCCTTGCACTTGCTTGGCAGGTGCGCTACCACTTAAGACACACCCCAGACTAAGTCTAAGGATTTTAATAGAGGGAGGGAGGCTTCTAGCAAGAGCCAAGTTAAGGGGTCAGACATGAGGCCCATCAGCCTGAATGAAGAATTTGGCAAAAGTGTTAGACTTTTCACCAAATTCCCCTGCAAGCAAAAGGGTTATAAGGAATCAGATGTCCTGAAATGCTTGGGCAAGACCATGGAGGGCTGAGAATGCCACCAAGAGCATTCTGCAGGTCCTGAGGAACCTCCCAGACCTTCAGAGCACAGGAGTAACATGTTTGTCTTGTATCTTAGGGAGGCCCTTCTGGCTCTCCTTCAGAAAATGGTGGAGGGACAGGAAAACAAGTACAAAGCCCAGTTGGGCAAAAAAACAATAATCCACAGCCCAGGCTAAGCCAAAGAGCTCAAAGGACATCTTGGAGGTGGCTTTAAACAAGTGTCTACTAGTGGGAGAAGAAAAAGGAAAGGTGGCTAAGTTTGTCACCACCATATTTGCTAGCATGATGCAGCACTTCAGCCAGCAGTCTGCCTGCAGAAAGAAGACAATCCCAGGACTGGGGTGTGGCAACCAAGGTTTCTGAGCCCACGTGAAACTAGGAATACCCTAGCCCCATTCCCAGACAGGTACACACAGAGACAGCTGACATTATAAGATCAAGGATTCCAGCAACTTTGCTCAAATAACATACCCAGAAGACTTAGTTGTGAAAAAAATATTTATATTTGCCACCAAAATTCAAGAATCCCAGAGCTAGCAGGTGTGGCTAGAAAGATTCCCCAGGCTATCCTGCCAGCTTCCTGCTGTGCTTGGGCCATCAGTGGGACTGGAGCACCTGGAGAGGCAGATGATCTTCCTCTGAGGACCCATCCTTCTCAGGTTGGGAGGCTAAGATGGGGTTCTTCATAGAGCCTGTAAACAGAATGGAGAACACCGTGACCTGGCCCTTGATTTTTCCCTGGTGGTAGGTGCTAGGGAAAAAAGAAGAGGACCACACCATGAAAACCCATCATGCCTTGTGACAGCAGGTGATTCTGGAGTCCTATAGTCCCTCCCCCTGCCTCCCTCCTTCCATGAGCATTTCCTGAACCCCTACCATGTACCAATCAGGGCCACCCTTCCCCCCACACCCACAGAAATTAAAGTCACAGGAGATGACAGGCTGTATGTCGGAAACTAGAACATCTGAGACTTGCTAAAGAGCAGGAGAGAAAGGGGTTAAGCACTGAGAGAGCTCAGAGGAGAGAGGGAACCCAATGCATAGAGAAGATAGTGGGTTCAGACACCCAGACAGGAAGAAAGATATTTTAGACAGTGACAAGAGCCAAGGAAGCAAAGAACAAGGAGTACGCAGCCTAAGTGGCTGTCACATGTGGGGATAGAGGTGTGGGGAATGGGTGGGACAGACAACAGCTCTGGGCCTTGACCTCTATACTGAAGAGTGTGGCCCTTCAGGCATCCTGTAACTGTGGACTGTGTGAAGATTTTGTCTACATTAGCAGGAGTGCAGTAGAGCAGAGTTGTCTGAAGGTTGGGGTTCAAGCTGAACCACCCTCCAAGAGGTGCAGAGGCACAGGAGTGAATGGCTTCCTGAGGTGTCAAGGACAAAGGTTACTGCTAGGCCCCAAGGCTGTTCCCCCGGGAATGTGGGGTTGGCATTGAAGGCAGGCAGTAGTTGTGGGATTGCTGCATGCAATGCCTGGGACATGATAAGGGGCAAGGTAACTCTGAGTCCTGGCATTGAGGCGAGGGTAGGGAAAGGGTAGAAATGAGACCTGTGGGTATGTGAGGGAGAAGAGCAAGGAAACCAGCAGGCTTTGGAGCAGAAAAAGGCAAGTAGAGCCCCCTACAACAAGCTCCAAAGACATTTGAGGGTGGGGAGTGTTGGGGCCACAGACACAGCAGGTGACATTTGGCAGGAAAGAGAAAGAGAAAGGAGAGGAGGAGAGCCAATGGAAGCTGAGGTAGGAGCTCTCGAAGATTCCAGAAAGAAAGGGTAAGAGAACTAATCCTCAAACAGGTCTCTGAGGTGGGAAGAAGGAGTTGGTCCTGGTAAGGCAGGTGGGGACAGGAAGGGTCATCACTGAGTTATAACAGAGAGGACACATAGGGATGAGAAGAGGTATAGGAAATGGCCTCTCTTGTGGGGTGTGAAGAGGCTGGGGGCTGTGTAATGGGGGAAATCTTGGGGTCAGTAAGGCAGTGCCCTGAGGGCCCAGGAAATGCACGGGTGCTGTGGGCCAGGCAGGAAGCCCTTCCAAACCTGTTTCTCTCTTGTCCGCAGGCCCAGCCCAGGTCTGACAGGGGCAGGTTCTCAGTAACCAACTAAATGGGCAAAGGGTGCAAGTGATTACAACCCTGACAAGGAGAGAGGATGGAATGAAGGAGCCAAGGTGAGGCAGGGAGGTTGGGCCGGAGGAAGTACTGAGAGCTGAGGGGGTTTCCCAGCCAGCAGGGATGGGGTGGAGAAGGAGGAGGGAGGCACCACATTAATGGATCAATCCCTGTGGGAGGAGCAAGCATGGGTACAGCTTCAAGTGGCCACACAAGAGGGCGCTGAGTCCCATCCCAACTCTTCAAGGTTCTGTGGCCCAGCAAAGATAGACAGACAGACAGACAGACAGACACATACATACATACATACATGCCCCAGGGTAGGGGCTCCAGCCCCACAGCTACTCACCAGGAGCACCTGCCCCTGATGGCTCTTCACACACCGTGGGCAGGGTCTGCTCCCATGCAGCCCAGTTGACCTCCTCCACCCTGTGGTTGACAGAGCAGCTTTGAAGCTCTGGGAAGCCAGCAGCTCAGCCTGCTTTGCCCCAGAGAGAGACTGGGCCCCCAGTGGGTGGACAGTGTAGATGCTCTAGTGGACACAGGGACAGTAAGGAAGACAGGGTTTCTCTCCCCTCCTCTGCAGAGCACTGGGCCAACACACATCCTATGAGCCCTATCCTTGCGACTGTCAGACTACTGCCCCCATGGCTAGATGCCCACATGGAGGAACAGGCACCCCTCCCTTCCAGCTATTCACAGCAGCCTGGGTTGTCCAGAGCAAGTAGAGAAGATGAATTAAGATCAGGTGCATCTTTGTGCACTAGTTTCTTGTGGTCCTTTTAGGACTGCTTCTCATAATAAAACCCTCATCCTCTCCCACATTTATAACTGTGTCTGCTTCTGGCTATACATCTTCTTTGGTCTCCATAGAAGGTGTGATAGTTCCAAGACCAAACTGGGAAAATTGGGGGTAGGGGTACAGGGCAAGGCTGGTGAGCCCAGGACACTCTGGATGCTTGACCAGAAGGAGTCGGGGACATTCAGTGTAAGCCACTGGGACAGGCAGCTGACCAGACTGTCCAAGGCACAGGCAGTGGCAGCTGAGGCCTGTGAGATCCAACATCCCTGACCTCACCTGCCTAAGTAGAGTCCCTGTTACTCCTTGGCCCTGCCTCGCCCACTAGATCCGGCTCCTGGCAGCCATTCTCAGCTGGCCTGTACTGTGGGTAGGCTTCCAGGATTCCTGGACAGCAAAGCCCCCAACTTTCCCTTCCCACTTTGTTCACCTGAAGCACCAGCGCTCATCAGGGCTACCATCAGGCCTGGTACCGACCGTCAGCATCACACCTGCCCGCTGCTTCTTCCTCCTGCACCACCAGTAGCCATTCTCCATCTCCAAGACAGAGATGGCTTTCTGGGGACAAAGGATACATCAAACAGAGTAACCTGAGACCCTGCCTGGAGGAAGAGACACACAGCACAAGCACAAAGGGAACCAGAAGATGTGCATAGCACTTTTGCTCTATAAACCCAGGTCGACTAAGCATATAGACTCAAATCCAGCTTCAGTGTCTGATTATCTGTTTCCCTGAATCTGTTCCCTGCTCCCTTCTCTGAATCTGTTTCCCTATTTATAGACTGAGGATAACACACCTCAGACAGTTGTTGGGAAGTTAGCACCTAAGGAGTGTCTGACATTGACTAGCTCTTACGTTCATACCATCAAGTATAGAACTTCATCTGCTGTTCTCGTCACGTGTGTGTTCACTCACACACAAATGAGTCACTCACCTTTGTGAGTGAGGGCACTGAGGCCCACAGAAGATAAGGGGCTGGCCCACGTGAATTAGCTGCAGAGTCCAGCTCCTGGACAAAGGTCTCCCTTCCCCAGTGTCCAAAACCACCCAACACCTCTCTGGTCAAGACGCAGCCGTTGCTTCACTGCAGGTGGATTCATGTCGGCCCTCCAGCTTCCCTGAGCTGGTGTAGCCCCAGGTTTTCATATCCTGAATTCCTCCCTCTCCAAACTGGCCCCATTTTACCTACAAGGAACAGAGAATGGGAGCTCCGTGTGGGCAGAAAACTTGTCTTGTTCTCTGCTGTATATAGCACCTAGGAATGTGCCCAGCCCTACTAAGAATAGGCACTCAAGACATACTTGATGAATACAAGGCCCATGATCACAGTGACTAATACACTAAGTACCTACTATGTGCTAGTCACTGTCCTGAGCACTCCATGCCTGTGAACTTGCCCAGACCTCACAACAACCCTACGAAAGAAGGAACAGAGCCAGGCGCTGGCAGCTCACACCTGTAATCCCAGCTACTCAAGAGCTAGAGATCAGGATTGTGGTTCCAAGCCAGCCTGGGCAAATAGTTCCTAAAACCCTATCTAGAAAAAAACCATCACAAAGAAGGACTGATGGAGTGGCTGAGATGGTAGAGCGCCTTCCTAGCAAGTGTGAGGCCCTGAGTTCAAACCTCAGTACTGCCAGGAAAAAAAAGAGAGAGATAGAAGGAATGGATGCGAGAGTCTGGTGGCTGATCCTACTAAGCCCCTCACCCAAGTGGGTGTCAGGCCCTGGACATCCCCCAGTGGGGTGGGCCAAGTTCAAAAGTTTCCATGCACATGTTGGTGGCCCCAGAACTCAGGGTAGGGGAGGTAGGGGAGCCTCGCTGGTGGCACCTGCAGCTTCCAGATGCTCCAGCTGTCAGTGGCAACGCTGTTGACAGTCTCGCTCATGAGGGCGATAAGCATGTTAAGAAGCAGGACGTAGGTGAGCAGCACGTAGGCCAGCAGCAGCAGCAGCACCACCCCCCGGAAGCGCAGCTGCTCCTGGAAGGCCAGCTCGCCCATGCCAATGGTGAACTTGAAGAGCTCCAGAGAGGCATCCAGGATGCTCCTGTACGGGGCTGCTTCCTCTTCTTGTCCCATCCTGGGCTCTGCTGTCTCTGTGGCATTGTGGTCTGCAGAGACTCCAGAACTACGAGCCTCCCGGCTCAGGCTCACCAGGGCTACGGGAGGGTGGGAAGGGGGTCCTCAGCCTGGGAGACCAACAGGCAGCCTTGAGGGTGTGCAGGGTGGGCAGGGGATGGACAGGGGCCAGAGGGGTCCTTTACCTACAGCGAAGCCGAAAAGGAAAACTAAGTAGACCAGCAGGAAGCGGAGCAGGTCCCGTAGGATAACCTGGAACATACAAGCACAGGAGGCAGGCTGGGTGGCTGGGCCCTGTGCACCCCATGTACTGCACAAGACATGGGCCTTGTGGAGCCACACTGTGGATGCAGCAGTCTTTTAAAGATCTCGGGCTGGCAGAGTATCTCAAGTGGTAAAGTATCTGCCTAGCAAGCACAAAACCTTGGAGTTCAAACCCCAGTGCTACCAAAAAAAAAAAAAAAAAAAAAGATTTTCCCTGCTTAAAACCCTCCAGGGTCAAAACATTAAAAGACAAGCCAGGCACCAGTGGCTCACACCTATAATCCTAGCTATTTGGGAGGCTTAGATTGGGAGGATTGTAGCTCGAGTCCAGCCTGGGTAAATACTTACAAGACCCCATCTTCAAAATAACCAGCGCAAAATGGACCAGAGGTGTGGTTAAAGTGGTAGAGCACCTGCTTTGCAAGTGGCGAATCCTTGAGTTCAAACCCCAGGACCACCAAAAAAAAAAAAAAAAAAGTGCTGAGTGCCAGTGGCTCATACCTATAATCCTAGCTACTCAGGAGGCAGAGATAAGGAGGATCAAGATTCAAAGCCAGTCTGGGCAAACAGGTCCTGAAACCCTATCTCAAAATTACCCAATACAAAAAAGGGCTGGCGAAGTGGCTCAAGTGGTAGAGCACCTGCCTAGCAAGCTCAAGGCCCTGAGTTCAAAACCAAGTACAGAAGAAAAAAAAAGTCAGAGAGAACTTCATACACCATCCCCTCCAAAGCATCCTCTGCCCCATCATTCTCCATCATGTCATCTTAAGTATTCCCTTCATAGAATTTTGGGCTTGGCAATGGTTAGGTTGTTTTCTTAGTATTTTCATTTCCTCCACCAAAATGTCAGCTTCAGGAGAGCGAGGGCTGATGTGCTTTATACAATGCTGTATTCCCATCACAGCTATGGCCCCTCATGGGCATTCCCCAAAAATTTGCAGAATAACTGGTGAATGCAGACAATGCAGATGCCCTTGTGTCCCAAGGCACAGGCACACAGACAAGCATATGTGTGTATTCTCTGCTCCTTTATAAAGAAGGATGCACCTGTTCCCATGTGGACACCTGTAAACACGCATACATGCATGTATCTGCACAGGTTGTACAGAAAGCAGGTTCATGTACGCCCATTCCTAAGCTGACATTTGGTGAGCATCTGGGTGAATGCCCTTCTCTTATGCCCTCCTCTGCTGTGGAGGAAGGCTCCTTCCTTCTGGGCTGTGGCGGCCAGCCCTGTCTAGTCTGGCTGCTCCCAGGCTAGGCCTGTCTCTCACCTTCTGGATCATGACGCTGTAGATGCCTGTGTGCTGGAAGCCACGTGTATAGTAAAGCAGGTTCAGCCAACCCAACACCAGGGAGGACACGAGCAGGGGCAGGTACCACTCAATGGTCATGAAACACAGAACCTGGGACAGCACCGTGAGCAGGGCCTGGACCAGGCTGCAGGGAGCAGGGTCTGGGTCAGCTTCCAGGTCATCTGCCAACATCCTCCCCCAACTCCTGCTGGCCAATGCTAACCAGCACTGCCTCTCCCACCCCAGCCTGGCGGCTTGAGATGCCCTCCATGTGTTTGGGACTTGACCCAATCAGAGCCTGACATCCATCTTGGGCAAGTTATTTGGCCTCAGTTCTCTCCCCTGCAAAATGGGCATAATAATAATACCACCTGACTGAGAGAGCATCTTTGAGGATTAAGCAAGACACTACGTAGAAAAGGTCAGGCCTCCATGGGTGTGCAGTGAGGGTTCATAAAGGTAATAGTCAAAATCAATCATAACCTACAAGGATGGGAGCACAAAGAGCTCCTGGCTGGACAGTAGCCAGGACTCCCAAGTCTGGCCTGCACTAAAGTCCTGACCCCTGGAACACCCTAGACCCTTGTGTCCTCGCCTCTAAAGTCAGACTGGTGCCCTCTGCCACACCTGCCTCTCTCAGGCCTCAGAGACAGTGGGAGAGCAGAAATAAAACCCACATACAAGAGGATTTCAAAGTAGCTGTCCATGAACGAGATCCAGATGAACAGGCGGCGCCGCCAGAAGTACCACAGCTGTGGAGGAGGAAACAGAAGGTGTGAAACTTGCTCTCCAGGCACAAGCACAACTGGGCTGCCCCACCCGGCCTGGATTTTGGCTCCCCCACATGAGCTCTGCCAATGCACCTTGGGGACTAAGGTAACAGCTGCTCTTTTTTTTTTTTGAGATAGGGTCTCTCTATATAACACAGGCTGGCCTTGAACTCAACAATCTTTTTGCCTCAGCTAAGTACTAGATTACAAGAATTACAGGCATGCAACACCATACCTGGCTTTCTTTTGGGGGGCAGGAATGAGGCCTTCATGTTACCCAGGCTGACATCTTCCTATCTCAGCCTCCTGAGTAATCAGGATTACAGGCATTCACCACCATGCCCAGTGAAGGGCATAGCTTTGATTTTGGGGGGCTCATGATTCCTCTGAAAGCTAAAATAGCTTTTGGCCATCTTTCCAAAAAATGTAGCCAAGAAGAGCATGGTGATGTACAACTGTAGTCCCAGTTACTTCAGAGGCTGGGGCACAAGGATCACTTCAGCCCAGGAATTCAAGGCTAGCCTGACAACATAACAAGATCCTATGTCAAAGGAAAAAAAGTCCTGGTCCCCATGGATTCAGATGCAGAGCTCGTGTACTACATATGGAGAGGAGGAGGGATGGAGGAGGGGTCTTTTCTGTCGCTGTCTCCTGGCCTCTTGAGGAGCACCCTATACTCCAGTCAACCCGCATGTGATGCTCAAGTTCTGCCCACTCTGACAAGGTCCCAATGTCCAGGTATCCAGCTGACTCACAATCTTGCTACATTTCCCATTGAAGATGCCCTACTGCGGGAGTCAGGCTAACACCCACTTACACCTATACCGTTGGCTCCCCAAGTGAGACTCCCCCAGCCAACTGAAGTACCTGAGGTGGGGTCTTCCACCTGGATTAGTAGGGAAGCAAAGCCTGAACTGCCAAAGAATCAGAGAAGTCATCTGCTACCCCTGGGGTACCCCTGAAAGCACAGCACGGAGGGCCCCAGGGCCCCAGAAGACAAGTCCAGAGCCCTCCACTGCTTTGAGGCTAAGTGATTGGGTGGGATTGGCCACAGGAGTCAGTCTCCCTCACAGTGAAGGGACTCTAAGGCCCCTGTAGCAGAATTCTAAGTTTGCTTCTTGGTCAGCTGGGAGCCACACAGGGTGGAGACATGAGAAGAGCCCTCACCTGGCCCAAGAGGAGGTAGATCCCCCCCAGCAGGGTCAGACTGTGGCCAAGCAACAGCATGGAGTTTCCGGCCGTTGCTTTCAGCGGAGGGAAGGCCTGCTGAAGACACACACACTCCCGTAAGACCTGGGCCTTGGTCCTCTCCCCAGCAGCTAGTACTCCAAGAGCCACAGCTGAGGAACATTCCAACAGTAAAGGAAACCTGGGGTCCGGGGAAAGACCCCTGGAGGGGAACACTGTGTAGCAGTTACTAATGTGGGGTTTGGAGTCACAGTGCCTGGGTTCAGTTCCTGTCCCCACCACTTACAGTCTACATGACCTTGGATAATTTACTTAACCTCTCTGTGCCTCCCTTACCTCAACAGTGAACTAAGGATGACGGTAATTCATCATCCCAAAGCATTGTTATGGACATTCATTGGTTAACACGAATCAATCACTTAGAATACAATCTCACATATGGCAAGCACTCAATAAGTATCCACTGTCATTATTGTCATCAGTACTAACGGCTGATTAGTGGCTCAAGCTGTCTAAGCCTCAGTGTTATCCTTTGTAGGATGGGAATGGTGCTCCAGGTCTCATCTTCCTCTAGGGTTGTTCCAAGCAGGCCTGCCCCAGGACAGCCCCCTTCCTGCTCTTGCCTTCTCCAGGGCCGGCTGGTGGTAGGCAACGGCGGTGAAAATGAACATGTAGATCAGATAGCACAGGAAGTTGAAGAAGAACTTGGGGATGAGCAGATCCCATTTTGCCTGAAGCAGTTTGTTCAGAGGCTCCAAAACCACCATGCGGTGTCGGTGCTGGGGTGGGAAGGGGAGAGTCAAGGTATAGATATAGGGTATAGAGAAATAGCACATAGAGAAGGGAGCCCACTTCATGCCAGGCTCCAGGCAAGGGCCAAGGGAAATGGAGAGGAAAGGATGGGGAACAGGCTCCCAATACCCCCAGAATCCCCAAAGGGCTCCTCCCCACCTGCCTTCACTCCAGCCTCCTGCCTGCAGGATGACCAAAGACCTCGGCCTCCATTTCAGGACAGGTGCTAGTCCATAGAGAGGTCTCAGTAGTTGCCACAGGGACCTTGGCAGGATCCCCATGTTGGGTAAGACTAGAGTGTGGGATAAATGTGGGCTTGGTGGCCAGGGTCAAGGTCATGCCTAACAGGACCTGCTGCCACACTCCCACTGGCACAAGGAGGGGCCAGGTGTGATCCATCAGGCAGCTCTGACCTGTGGGTCTTACCAGGTGATCTGCCAAGTCCTCCAGGCACTCTCACCTCCCCCCGACACCCGCCATGGGCTCACCGGACTCCTACAATGGAAAGCGATGATCTCCAGGACTGAGTTCTCTTCCCAGCTGTCCACAGAGGCCAAGTCGTACAGTGACACCCGGACAGGCCCGTAGCACCACTCAGTGAACTTTCGGGAGAGGGACTGACACGGTCCTGAGAACTCCCGCTGCAGGATGTGCTTGAAAATCTGCAGGGTGGCCATCCATATCAGCTTCCTTGTTGGGCCTCTCCCAACACCGATGCTGAGCCAGCTCCCTGCAGAGCCGCCCTCATCTTTAAGCAGACACACTCTCATGGCCCTGGAAACATGGGTCCTTGCATGTCTAAGCTCTTACGTACATCCACACACATCCAGGCTCTTCCTTCCCTACTCCTGTCTCCCTGTTTCATGTCCCTCTTTCCTGGATGTCTCAGATGGCAGGGAAACTTCCAGTCTAGGGACTTGAGGTCTCTTGAAATCAGAGACCTCTTCTGCACTTCTGTGGTCAGAGTCCAGAGCTTTCAACAGACTGGAAAGGAGTCCCCAACCCCAAACAGGTAAGGAAGTGATTTGGTTTCACACATGAGGAATAGGAATAAAGAGGGCATAGGGGACGGGGAGAGGCCTCCTCAGGCCACACAGCCATGCCTTTAGACAACAAACATGCACACAGTCCAACAGGAGCCCCAGGAAACTTGGAGGGCAGGAAAAAAGTATTAAAAACTTCTATTTATGTTTATTTTTATCTTAACCTTTTAAAAATCCCCTTGTTCTACAAATTGGCCCTGTGTAACTGCACAGATTTTATGCCCAGCTTTGAAAAGAATTAGAAAACTAGTGAGGCCCTCAGAAAAAAAGGAGCACTGATCATGTTTACTCTTTCTACCAAAAATACTTCCAGGCAAATCAAAGTTTGGGACACTAACAATGAAACTGAGTTGGGTGCCGGTGCCGGTGCCTCACACCTGTAATCCTAGCTACTTGGGAGACTGAGATCAGGAGATCACAATTTGAAGTCAGCCCAGGCAAATAGCTCATGAGACCCCCATCTCCAAAATAGCTAGAGTAAAAGGTGCTCAAGCAGTAGAGTGCCTGCTTTGCAAGCACGAAGCCCTGAGTTCAAACCCCACTCCCATCAAAAAGAAAAGAAAGAACAAAAGAAAGAAAGAAACTGCCAGGTATGGTGGCACATGCCTGTAATCCAGCCCTTGGGAGACTGAGGCAGGAAAATCAAGAGTTTGAGGCCAGCCTGGACTACACAGTGACAGCTCAAAAAAAAAAAAAAGAGAGAGAGTAAGAAAGAAAGGATAGAAGGAAGGAAGAAAGAAAGAAACTGCAGAAGTCTGGAAGAAAATATAGCCATGAATATTATATGTAATTATACTACATATATAATTATGTTATTATATAAGATATACAATTATAGAAACATAAGTATAATACAATGTTATACAGTATAATATCATGATTTTTATCTATTATATGTATGCATTTCTGAAAAATCTTGGAGCTGGGAGTGGCTCAAGTGGTAGAGCTCCTGCCTAGCAAGCAATTGGCACTGAGTTCAAACCCTAGTATCAAGAACAACAACAACAAAAGTCTTCTGGAAGGAATTAAGCAATAATAAAACTAAGGAACCTTAAAGGAAAAGATAATTACACGTGCACATCTAAAATTCTTGTTTAGTTTCCTGAGACAGGATCTTATTATGTTGCCCAGGCTGGTCTTGAACTCGTAGGCTCAAATGATCCTCTTTTCTCTCAGCAGGATAGCTGAGACTACAGGTATGTACCACCACACCCAGCTACATATGTAAAAAAATGTTAGTTCTGTATGGCAAAAAATACTTTTAAAATTAAAAAAAAAATTGACATGAGAGAAAAAATTGCAAGGGTTGTAGTAGATAAGATATAAGTTCACTATAAAGAACACTTACCCATCAATATGAAGAAAGTCCAATAGTGAAATAGGCAAATGGTATGAAAAGACTGCCTCCTAATAAAGAAACCTAGCTAACTTTACAAAACAATCCCATCTATTCCAATATCTTGATTTGGTGCTCCATACATTATTTGTAAATAAACACACATATTGGATTTTGTTATTGTTTGAATCTTATATGTCATGCCCTTCAAAATCTCATGTTTTGAAGGTGTGGTTGTCTGCCTATGGCACTGTTGGGAAGTGTGAAGCCTTTAGGAGGGGGGGGCCTTGTTGGGAGGAAGTCAGGTCATTGGGGTGCACCCTTCCTTTCTCTTTGGTTCCCAGCCACCATGGGATGAGCAGCTTTCCTCTACCACACGCCCTCTGCCACCATGCTGTACCCTGCCACAGGGACACTGAAGCATCGCCAAGTTCAAGTGACCATGGACTCAGACCTCTTGAAGTTGTGAACCAAAATGAAACTCTCCTCTGCTAAATTGATTGTTTCTAGGTATTTTGTCACAGTGACCAAAAGCTGGCTAACTCAATACAGAGGTGCATACTGAATGTTTTCCTACTAATCAGAGTGCTCCGTTCAAAGCAGAGAGGCCAGTGCTCTAGCCCTCCACCCCAGGCTCTCTCTGCAGAAGTGCCAGTGTCTGGGGAGTCCGGCTGCAGCTGCAGAGGTGGGAAGGGGAGAGGGACCGTGCTCACCTCAATTTTGCCCTCCTTGGCAGCCAGCTTCAGGGGCGTGAGGCCCTGCAGGTTGCGGATGTCCTCGAGCTGCACAGTGGGGCAGAGGCGGGCCCCCGCTTGGAGGAGCCCATCATACATGCGGATGACCAGCATGCTGTTCTCAGGCGAGTTGTCAGCGATCATTACCAGAGCATGCAGGACTGTGTTGCCAAGGGAGTCGGTGGCCTGCAGGCTGGCAGGCTGGTGCGGGTTCTCCAGGAGGTAGGTCACCACATCCCACTGCTTGGTGCATGCAGCCAGAGAGAGGGGCAGCTCTCCTGTGGGTAGTGGGGGCAGCTTAGGCCTCAGACTTCTTAGCTTTCACCTTTCCACTTCTCCTGCTCCTCAGACAGAAGTCCAGGACTCCTCAAAGCAGGTCATGCCTCATTACCATCTAAGGGTGCAGAACAGGAGCCAGCCAACCAGGTCCCAATCTCCCTGATTCTTCCACTCTTTTTATTTTTATTTTATTTTTTCTTTTTGGTGAGACTGGAGTTTGAACTCAGGGATTTGTGCTTGCAAAGTGGGTGCTCTACCACTGGACCCACACCTCCAGTTCATTTTGCACTGGTTATTTTGGAGATGGAGGTCTCGAAAACTATTCCCCAGACTGGCCTCGAATTGTGATCCTCCAGATCTGAGTCTCCCAAGTAGCTAGGATTATAGGTGTGAGCCACCAGCATGCCCAGCTTTCACTCTTCTTTGACAGCCCAGGCACACTGCCCCTTAATTCAGACTGCCTGATAGAGTTGTTTTTTGTTTTGGTCTTGGTTTTGTTTTGTTTGTTTGTTTGGTTGGTGTGAGGAATTGACCCAGGGCTTTCCACATGCTAAGCACATACTCTACTACAGATCTATACCCCAGATCCCCTGCCTGAGTCTTGGCACAGGACAGTTCTAGTAGCTCCCCCTCCCCACACCAGTCTGGGCTTGGGTGCATGCCAGCCTCCTTGGCTGAGTGAAGATAAAACATCTTTTAAAACAATTGTTTTTAACCAGCCTGGTGGTTAGAAACAGGATGTCAGAGTCAGGCAGACCTGGGTTTAAGTGCCAGATCTGCCAATCACTAACTGCGTGACCGAACAAGGCCTATCCCCTCTGTGCCTCAACATATCTAAGAAAGGCTCACTCACCAAAATAGAAGCAAGTTCCTTGGTGCTTTTGGAAGAAGTGGCCACAGGCACGGGCATGCACATTGGCCCCATTCTCTACCAGAAGCTTCACGCACGGCAGGCTCCTCTTCTCAATGGCGATGTGCAGAGCACTGTGGCCTCGGTAGTAGTCATCCGTGCATTGGGCGCTGACCAGGGGCTGGGGATTGCCAGAGTCCCGGTCGATTTGCAGCAGTGGCAGGATGCAGGCATTGAGACCATCCTGAAGATGCAGCACCGCTTTCATCAGGCATGTCTTTCCTGTGGAGCCCTCTGTGGGAAAGAGAAAGGGAAGGTACACTGGGGTGTTCGGACCTGGAGCAGCTGGGCTGCCCTCCAGCTCATGAGCAAGCCCAGGCTCCCAAGTACCCCATGGGAGGATAAAATAAAGACTGCTGCTCCATACAACTGGTGGGAACGCAAACTTGCTGCAGGGTACCAGGCTCTAGGCAATGGGTGTTAAAATTTCTGCCCTAAAAACTAAGTTTCTTAGACACAATTCATCACAAGTACATTATCTCTACAAGAATATTCAGGGCAGTATTTGTGAGTGGCTTCCCTACTTCATGGCTCTATCTCCTTCAGCAAGCTACTTGGCCTCTCTTAACCTCAGTTTTCCTCCTTGAAAAATGGGAATATTCCAGGATTATTGTAAGGATTCAAGGGAAAACATAAACAAAGTGCTTAGCGTACAGAGGGCCTGGCACACAGGAACTTGAGACCAAAAGCTGCAAACGACCTTGACAGCCATAAATAGGGAATTGGCTAACTTACAGTAAATCTACATGAAGTCACTCTGCAGTCATTAAAATGACCGAGACATGACGTGAAATGAAAAGTGCTGGAAGATGTATAAAATGTATTTATGTGGGGGGAGGAGGGGGAGCATGGCACATTACAAATTATTACACATGACAACATTCCATTTATGTAAACACATACCTGATAAACTAAGAAAGTCTGAAAACATGTGCCCTAAAGCATTAACAGGGCCCCGGGATGACCAGCAGACTGGTTTTACCCTTGGCTTTATATGTCTTTCCTGTTTGAATCTTTTAGGGTGGATGTTATTTTTCTAATCAGCCCAAACAACAAAGATGCTTAGATTTGAGCAGAGATGTTCTACAATGGGTGGAGTGTATAGTATACTTATTATATATATATATATATATAGAGAGAGAGAGAGAGAGAGAGAGAGAGAGAGAGAGAGACTGGTGGCAGAGGTAGGCCTGGAGCCCATAGGCAGATAGAAGTGGAAAGCATGGCCAAGACTGTCAGAGGGCTGTCCTCAGTCAGCTACATCCACAGGCTCCCGTCCCACCCCACCCCCCAGCAGCCATTCCAGCAGGAGGTCTAAGAATAGCTGTTCCTCATCTCCTGACCATGATCCAAGTTCACCAGTCAGCCCTGCACTCGGCCTGCAGAACACCATAGGCCAAAGAATGCCACAGGACAGGGTCTACCTGTATACTCCGAGTCAGTGAGGTACTTGCTGGTCCGGCGCAGGTACTCTGGTAATCCAGCCAGATCCTCAGGGATACCCCTGGAGACTACACGGAACAGCCGGTCACGGTCAAAACGGTTTGGGTCCTGCTGGCTGTGGGAGATGTGGTTTGTGACTCATGTTGGAGAAGGGCCATTGCCCCTCCAGCAGAAAGTCCCCAATCCCAGGAAGCCCTTTCAGGGAGTACAGTAAGCATTGCACACCCCTCAGTTTACACAAGAGCTCTTCTGAGAGCCTCTGTTCCTGAAGGCTGATCACAGGGACCCCAAGTTCAGAGCCCCAGGTGAGGAGGAGTGACCTGTCAGATAATTAGTTAGCGGCATCCCATGATTCTGGTCATCAGATAATTTTCAGCACTGAGTGCTTATCATTGACCCACATGCTTCATCTCACAAAAGACAATATCCAGCCGGGTGCTGGTAACTCACGCTTATAATTGTAGCTACTTGGGAGGCTGATATTGAGAAGACTGAAGGCCAGCCTGGGCAAATAGTTCACAAAACTCCATCTCCAAAATAACCAGAGTAAAATGGGCTGGAGATGTGGCTCAAGTGATAAAGCACCTGCTTTGCAAGTATGAAGCCCTGAGGTCAAACCCCAGTCCCATCAGGGGAAAAAAAAAATTTTTAAAACCCTCAGTATCCCACAGGGTTTATTCCATACAACTTGAACTTTTGTATGGGTCTGGACAGGGTTGCAAGAGGTACCTGCATACTGATGGTGGCTGCATGCATCACTGATCTTGAAGAAAAAAATGGAGAAGGGGTTGGAGGTATAGCTCAGTGATAGAGCACTTGCCTAGAATGTTTAAAGTCCTGGATTTCATCCCCAGCACACACACACAAAAAAGGAATGACAAAAATCTCTCATCTCTCAGAAACCATCTACTGACAAATTACAGAGAATTCTGCATGTCTAATCTTCACTCCAGCATTTGGCTCAGGAATCACCCTTTTCTCCATTAGAGAAACTAGGAGATAACGTAACCTGCCAAAAGTCATAGAATGCAGACCTGGGGCTCTCATGGGGGCTGTCTAATGCTAGACCCTGGCTCTGAACCTCCTGAGAGATTCGAGGCTGGGCAGCAAGAGGTTTTACAGAGATAGTGAGAATATCACGTGATTCTAGTACTGAGAAATATCAGACGCTGACCAGAGTTTTACTGAGAAGTCACACTTCTGGGAAATTTCTCCCACAGTCCCAGGGAGACAGATCAGAATCTAGTGGTGTCTGGTGAGAGGGAAGAGGGAGTGGGACACCCCTCCCAAGCCACGCAAGTATTCACAGGGGCCAAATCACATCTGGGGCCCCTGGAACCATGACCAGAAGACATGAAGGTTCAAAAAAAAGGGGAGGAATCTATTTCATGCTTTGGGGACCCTCAGGTCCCAGCTTAACATCTTCCATGGGATGAGCCAACCCAGTAAGTGCTGGCTACTCTCTACTGCAGAGACTGATGGTTGGAATCAGTCACACTTTATGCTATATAACCAGGATGTGATTAGAACCAGCCCCTATCTCCTCAACACCAGGAGGTTGCGTGCTTGCTCACCCTGGCCAGACATCCCATCATTCACCCAGCAGATTACATAACCACAACATGACCACAGGGGCTCTGCTGCTGACTCAACAGCCCCATAGGTTGTCTGGTTGGGGAAAGTGGCCATTTGGACAAAGTACTTCCTGCCACCAGGGTGGTATCATGATCCTGGATTAGAGAAGCCAAGGAGGGCACAGACCAAGGCTCCAAAGCTCATTGTGGAGCCCATTCTATCTCTATCAAGCCCGCTACACTGCTCCCAGAAGCCTCCATGCATCCTCTCCTGTACTTTTTTTTTTTTACTTTTTACAGTGTTTTTAGGCAAAATTATTTAATGTCAATAAATTATTTAATAATTTTACATGTTTTGGTTGGTTTTACTGCACATCAATGTCACCTTTTAAAGCTGATTTTTCTTCCAGGATAGCCCTCTTTAAAAGATGCTTAATCCAGTTGTCCTGAGGACCTGTGGGATTTAATTTCCTGAAGCAATTTATTGTTCAGTCATTTTTAGAGTAGATGGACCTTCCTGGATCTCAAGTGCTGACACCCCATTTCATCAATGAGTTCAGATCATATTCATTCCTATTACACACTAAGGATATGTGGATTTCTGCCAATACCTAAGGTAAACAACATGTATATGTATATATATTAGCAGTTCTTTCAAACTTTGTAACTGTCTTGTAGTTACTTCCCACAGACCTAAGAAATGGCCCTGTGAGTAAAGCAAAACCACACAATTACTGTATGAGGCGTTTCCAACGATGTGTGGCTATAGTACAGAAGCCCCACTCTCCTGTACTTATGCTGACTTTGGCCATGATCCTCCAGCACAAGTAGCACAGGGGGCTCTAGCCTGGGAGGTCAAGGCTGGTGGCCACATTTCAGGCATGAGTAAGGAGGAAAGGGCTTCCCAGGCAGTCTTGCCTGGCCCATGAGGATTCTCCAGCCCCACACTAGAAGGAAGTCAAGTGCAGCCTCCTTAGCCCCCAAGAAGGACTGAAAGCAGGACCCCAGATTCATAGTTTGAACCGGTAGAGAGACCACAGGAAAATCAAATCATGGATGACTCCAAGCAGAAGCCTATCATCCTTCATCCCCAGTGTCCACAATGTCTGGGAGACAGCTTCAGCCTTGGGGCAGAACTGAGGAGCGCTCAGGACATTTTAGATGTCCTTGCCTCTCTCCCTGGATGGACTATGGATCCTGCTACCACCCCCACAGAAACCATGACAGAGATGGGGAATAGAGCATGAACAGAAGAATTTGACCATCAGTGGAGTACTTGAAGGTGGATGAGTGTGTTGCTACAAAGAACATGACCTCAGAGGGAAGAAGGCCAAACATGGGGAAGGTTCTGGAAAGAGCAACCCCAAAGAGCAAAGCAGAGGTCAGTCTAGGAGCCATTAGAGCCAGGCTGTACGGAAGAGGCACTGATGTTTTGGCTAGCCAAAACTGTGACTCAGGTGCTCTGTGGGAGCTGAAGGGAGCCTCTCTCGCCCCACTCCCATCTGATGCTGTACCTGGCACCTGCTCCCTTTCGATAGTTGAGATTGACTTTGATCTGAGGGGAGAAGTTCCGGTCCTCGCCCTGGAATGGTGACTCCATGGGGGGTGGCCCATGCTTTCCTTTGACCACCTCAGCAGCATCTTCTTGGTCTCCATCTGAGGTCTCCAGCCTGAAAGCTGGAGGGCTGGAGGGTGAGGTCATCCTAAGGAGAAGAGGCTACTCAGTCCAGCTGGAACCTCTGTGGAGATGGCGGTGTGAAGGGTCTCTTCTTCCTTCTAGCCCAGGTCAGTAGACCTGGCTGGGGCCTGCAGAAGATGTTTAGAAGCTGTGTGCAGATAGACACACTGTGTATATGCTCGGCCCTACAGGAGGGGAAGTGAGCCAGGAGGAAAGGGGACAGAGGAGGAGGAGAGCGGGAAACCTGTGATGTGAGGTGGCTATGTGCTAGAAGGACAGAGATGGGGTTGCCCCTTTGTGACATTGTTCCATAGGAAGAGCCATAACTGTCCTCAACTTTCCCTGGGACTTCCTGACACCTGAGAGATCTCAGCCCTGTTTCAGGGATAACAAACGTTTGTGTTTATAGCACAACCCTTTCTCTACACAGTAGCTTGCCCAGTGGCCAACCTTCACAACAGATAAAAGTGTAGTTGCTAGGATGGGGAGGGCCCCTCAACCCTCACCACAGAAGGGGAGCTTTTTGGGGAAACTTCAAATCACTCATTTTGCTGCCAGGACAACTGAGGCTCAGAAAGGAGAAGTGACTTTCTTAAGGTCACCAGTTACTGGCAGAGCATGGTCTAAAACCATCTCACTCTGTATTATGACGTTCCTTTTCAGTTCTCAGGTTCTTTCACAGCCTTTATTTTTGGCCTGACTTGTGTCACCAATGCCACCTTTTTAAGGGCTTCATAGCCTAGAGGGAGGCCCCCCTTACAGGCTGACAAGCTCTGTCTCCCCACCTCAGGCCCAGGGCTGGGCTCAAGGAGGTCAGCTGACAGCATGAGGGAAAACTGTAACCACAGCCTCCATCACGTGGCAAAGGGTGAGGCACTAGTCAGGTCTGGGAGCCCCCTTCCCACAGTGGGCAAGAGCGGAAGAAGGCAAAACAGAGCTGGGCCAGGAGACAGCAGGGTGGGAGGAGGGGCTAGGGACAGGAGGGGAGGGACAGAGAAGAGCAGGGCCAGGATGGGAAGTGAAGAATGTGCACTGCCTTACACCACCCGGCCCACTCCCAAACAACTTCAGGCTTCTAGTGCCAGAGGACCTACCATACCGCCACCTTGACTTGCAGTTGTGACCCAACAGCTCTCTGCACACACTAGGGCCTGGCAACCTTCCCTGGCCCTAAACCATGTAGCCTAGCTGATGTCCTCCTCAAGTAAATCCTAGTCCATTCTGCCTCCGAGGCTGCCCCACCATTCCCAAACCCCAGGAGCAACAGCTGCCTCCCAAGACCTTACCCCACCTCTTGGACACGCAGCACCCTGGCAGCAGAGGAAGAGATCTGCAGCCCCAGGGAGCCCGAGCCCATGCAGACCCTGGCTCCAGCCTGGAGAAGCAAGGAGCCCACTCAGACCTCCGCACCCCGATCGTTCGCTGCACGGCCCCCTGGGACGTCTCCGAAATTGCCCACCGACTTACCCCGCAGGCTGAGGCCAAGGCGTGGCAGAGGCCGGCTGCGGGCCGCTGGAATCCCCAACCTCTGCTCGAGAGGCGGAGGCTGCGGGAGGAAGTGCAGTGGGGGTGGGAGGGGAGCGGCACTGACAGCAAGCAGCGGCGGGAACCTCCCCACCCAGCCTTGAGCTCCGGCTAGGGGGTTGTGGGCTCCGGTGCTCCCCACTCTCAGGCTGCCCGTCCGGCGCGGTGGACAGCGCGGTTTAATTCTGCTCTGTCAGGACCGCCTAGCCACCAAAGACTGACCATCTGGACCACTGGCCACACCCTGCTCTCGGGGACACAGGCCCGCCCCCAGGTCCATCTCTCCCATCCTCCATTAATAGCCACTGAGTCTTCAGGTGGGAGTGTGGGCAATCGGAGGCAGCCCTTGAGTGCTGGGGCCTTGCCTCCGGTGGAAGTTGTCATGGAGTAGGGGGTTGATTCTTGTCCCACTCTACTGATATCCACCCTCTCCTCTTTCCTCCCCATCACGTGCCTTCCAGCAGCCAGACCACCTCACTCCTCAGCTTAACCCCACCCCCTGTCGTGGTTTTGAAAGGCACTTGTAATAAAATACAAATTCCATACCAGGTCCCCATGCAATCCAGATGTGCTGCCCACCCTCCACCTTCTTCTATCTTTGCAACCCTGTCTTGTTTATTACACTCTAGTGGAGAGAAAAGTGATGTGGACAGCCCTAGGGAGAGGAGAGGCTTAGCCACACAGTTGTCCCTGTGAATGCACCACCACCCACCCAGCCAGCAGTATAAGGGAACATTCCCACCAGCCTGACCCCAGAGCCCCTATTGCTCCAGTTCCCCTAGGTAAAGGCACTCCCAGCACCAGCCAGCAGGTGGGGACAGGGAGGCTGACATGGACAGCTGAAATTTACTGCATTGCCCTGGTCTGGGTTCAGCCTTAAGATTCAGAGACACAGCCACCATACAAGGCACACTAGGACTCATCCCTTACCCTCTCTCTCATCCACAAAATTTATCTCTCTGTCTGTCTGGTCCAAACCACTATCTTCTTTTCCCTGAAAAACTTCAGGCACCTCCAAACTGATATCTCTGCTTTGCTCTTGCCCCACCCCCACTCTCATACTCCATTCTCCTTATAGGACTGAACTGACCTGCTAAAAGTAAAAACAATGAAGATGTGGCTCAAATGGTAGGGTTCCTGCCTGGAAAACACCAGACCCTGAGTTCAAACCCTAGTACTTCTGAAAACCCAAGGACTGAGGGTTTAGCTCAGTGATAGAGCACTTGCCTAGCATTCATAAGCCTTGGGTTCAGTCTCCAGTACCAATAAATAAACAAAAACTATAATCAAAGAAAAGCTAGATCATCTCACTCATCTTAAGCCCCTTCCCCCTATTATGGCTTTCCATGGTACTTGGAATAAAATGCCAACTCCATACCACAACCCCAGGTGCTCTTCCCTGTCACTGTACCTTCATCTCTCATCTCACCCACATCTTGCATGTTACACTCCAGACCTGCTCTGTCCAATATGATAGTTGCTGGCCACAGTTGTTATTCAGATTTGAATCAATTATAATCAAACAAAATTTAGTGAATAAATTCAGTAAATAGAATATTTAGTTCTACTGTCCCATTCACCACATTCAGGCACACAATCCTCACATGTGACTAGTGGCTACTGTATTGGACAGCACAGCTATAAAACTGTTCTATCAATGCAGAGAGAAAGCTGTACTGGCCAGCAAGGCTCTAGACATTCTGAACACATGTCAGTCTCCCCAGAATGTTGCACAAGCTGTCCCTCCAGAAACACCACACACACACACATACACACACCCCACCACATATATCATACACGTTGCACTTAGTTCCAGCCGATCCTACTTCTCTGTTGCCTCTTAATTAATTTGTTTATTTATTTATTTTAATTATTTTTTGTGATGCTGGGGATTGAACTCAGGCCCTTGCACATGCTAGGCAAGCAAATACTCTACCACTGAGCTGCATCTCAGATCATTTTCTTTCAATTTAAACATCACTTCCTCTGGAAGTCTTTCCTAGACACTGGACTGGGTTGGGTGGGTTGTGTTGGGGGGGTCCCTGATATGTGTTCCTATGACACTTGCCTTGCCTCTAGTGGCAGCTGGCATGTATTGGTACTTTCCCCCATCATAGCTGATTACTCATTGTTGTTAATATTTATCTAGGTTTGGAGATGTAGCTCAGTGGTAAAGCATCTGCCTGGCATGCACAGGCCCACAACAAAACCAAAAAGTTGATATATAGATAGATATAGATATAGGCATAGATACATAGATCTATGTCTAGATAGATAGACAGATTATAGATATAGATATGGAAAGAAAGAGAGAGGACTTTTTAACTTAATTTTATGGCCTCATCTTTAACAATAACAAATATTTATTGAGCACTCACTATGTGCTAGACACTACTAAATGCTTTAATGTAACTATCAGAGCAACCTTATTTTATAAGCAAGGAAACTGAAGGTGGGCGAGATGAAGCACCTCATCCAAGGTCACATGGCTAAATCAAATCCAGAGTCCTACCCTTCCCTATTATGCTCTCCAAGGGGTGAGATCCTGCTCTTTTGATGTATTCACAGTGCCTATCACCCAGGGAGTACTTAACAAGACTTTAAATGACAGATTGGCTAGCCATAATTACAGTACACTATGCTGGTGTGGGGAAAAAAAAAAAAGTAATGAGCAGTGGAGATCTTCAAGTTCTCCAGAGACATCAAGTGACGATGAGATTGAGCAGACAGACAATCCTAATTTCAAATTCAGCTTATAAAATATCCTTGGATCATTCATTAGCCATTGGAGAATTGCAAATCAAAAACACACTGAATACTTGGCATGAGAGATACCATGATCAAGAAGGTGGTTTTCCCAGGCAAGGCTTATCCATTGCACTCAGGATGTGCTGACCCCTGCAATCTCCCCAAATGTGGGAAACTCGACTTCATAATTTGTGGTAGTGGGGGACTGCGTTCATGCTGTCCCCTTTTAAATAATAATAATAATAATAATAATAAACCACTGAGAATCCACTTCAAGCTCACTAGAATGGCTATAATAATAATAATAATAATAATACAATGATTGACAAGGATGTGGGGAAACTGGCATTCTCATACATGGGTGGTGGATTGTAAAATGTTGTGACTTCTTTAGAAGACGTCTGTTCCCCCCCAAATTAAGCAGAGTTGCCATATGACCTGTGATTGCAGGCCTAAGTATGTACTCAAGCAGGGAGGAAGGAAAGTAGTTAATAAAGTAGTACACATAGGACAAATTTGGTCAAAGTACATTGGATGCATGTTGTAAATATCACAAAGAAACCTCTTTGTACAACGAATTCATGCTAATTAAAAATTTTTAAAAAGTGACTTTCAAATTTTTAAAAAATAGTATGTACTCAAAGTGAATGGAAGCATATTACCACACAAACAGTTGTACGTAAATGTTAAAGCAACACTACTTACAGTAACCAAGCAGGAACAGCCCAAGCTAAAGAATGGATGTATAAAATATGGAGAATCCACACAATAGACTAGTATTCAATTATACAACATGAGCAAACTTTAAAAAGTTAGCCAAAGAGTGGACGGCTCACACTTGTAATTCTAGTCACTAAGCTCAAGAGGATAGAGGTTCCAGACCAGCCTGGGCAAATAGTTCCCAAGACCCTATCTCCAAAACAACCAGAGCAAAACTGACTGGAGTTGTGCTCAAGTGGTGGAGTGTCTGCTTTGCAAACAAAAAGCCCTGAGTTCAAACCTTAGTCCCACAATAAATAAAATAAAATTCAGATAAATGAAAGAAGTCAGTCACAGAAGATCACACATTGCATGACTCCTTTGTTTTTAATTAATTTTTTTTGTTTTTTCCTTTTTTTCTATATGAAACTTTAGAGTCAGAAAGTAAATTAGTGGTTGACTACAGCAAGGGATTTGAGAGGAAATGGGCTTTTTTCTGGGATAGTGGAAATGTTTGCTTTTGCGATGCTGGGGGTGGAATCCAGGGCCTCACACATACTAGGCATATGCCTAGTCTACCACCTAGGCCCATCACCAGCCCAAATACTCGAAATGTGATTGCAATCATGGCTGCACAACTCTGCAGATGGTACACTTTACATTAATGAATTATATTTGTTTACAAAAATAAAGTCTTCTGTACAGAGAAGAATGCTGTGTTTTTAAAGGGAAATTTATCAAGCAGAGAAGCAAGACTTCCTCAAACTCAGTGTCATTAGGCTCATGTTTCAAGAAGCTTCCCTGAAAAGCACCCCACCTCCACCCCAGGACTGGCAATGTGGCTCAGGGGCCAAACTCTTGCCTAGCATGTAGGAGGTCCTGAGTTCCATCCCCAGCACCACATACACACAAAAAAGCAAACCTAACACTCCCCCAAGCAACCTTAGGCCCTATCTTTCCTATATGCTTCATTTCACTTTACATTTTGTAGCTTTGTGTAAAAGTTTCTTTTTTTATCTGAATTTATTTTCAGGTAAATTTTTAATTTAAAAAAAAAAAGGACAGCTCACAAAACAAAAAAAGAGCAGATGTGTGTTATAGAGGCAGAAACTAAGGATCAAGAATAGGAGGGCAACTTTCTTTTCAATGTGTATTCTTTGTACTATTTGAAATCACTGACATTGGCTTTAAAAATAAAGATGTCACAGGCACCAGCGGCTAGTATCTATAATCTAGCTATGTGGGAGACTGAGATCGGGAGGATCGAGGTTAGAGGCTAAACAGAGCAAGGCAAATAGTTCACAAAACCCCCATCTCCAAAATAATCAGAGCAAAATGGATTGGAGGCGTGACTCAAGCCATAGAGTGCATGCTTTGCAATTATGAAGCTCTGAGTTCAAATTCCAGTGCCACCAAAACATCCACATCTCTTGTAGGTGTAAAAAAACAATCCAACTGAAACAGCTAAAGTATGTGCAGAATTCATTATAAAGAGAGGCGAGAAGGGATTTCAGAGTCTGTAAAGGGGAAGCTGCTGGCGAGGAGAGGTGGACAAGGCAGGACCTGGACTTGCTGACTTTGCACCAATCCCAAAACCTAGCTCAGAGCCAAAGCTCTGACCGTGTCTACTGGCCAGGTAGAGCTTCCTAGAGCAGATTGTGTCTGACACTGTCAGAAAAGAAACAGCAGTAAGCCAGCTTGTTAGACTG